AAACATAAACAATCTAATCAACAAAAATTTATATTCTCAAAATATATAATATTTATGAAAACAATAAAAATTTATAATTATTCAATATGATTCTATTTTTAAATTTAAATTATTTATTATTATTATATTAAATATGTAACTAAATAATGTAATAATTAATCATGTACAATTTATAAATATTAAAAAAAAATCATCAAATTATCTTAATAACCTTACAAAATTTTACATTAATTCCAATGAAAAAACTTAACAAAATTAATAGAAAATATTTTCATAAATCATTCTATAATACTTTGATATGTTTAAAATTATTCAAATTTTTTTTATAAAAAAAAATATTTATAGTAATTGAATTAATTAAAAAAGAAATAAATAAATATTAGGGGAAGAAAATATTATGTCCGAACAACTAAGAAGTGCTAGAACAAGGAAGTTCTCATATTAAATTATTCAAATCTCAACTTCTCCTTGGACCACCAGATACATAATCATCCCTTCAGAGCTTAAAACTAAAGGGAAAGGGCGAGCTGGACATTCGAGTGCAGAAATGAGCCCGATTGCTCCGCCTTGGTCCCACGCACCTGCGGCGAAGCGATTCGTCCTGCGGCTCTTCATCTCGCTCAAGTACGTGACCGCCAACGTGGTGGATCGCCGAAGCGGTAGGGTTATCGTGACGGCTTCCTCGGTGGAGAAGGCGCTCAGGGAAGGCCTCGACTGCGGCCGCACCTGCAACTCCAAGGCGGCCGCCGCAGTCGGCGAAGTCCTCGCCATGCGCCTCAAGGTCGACGGCCTGGCCACCGAGCCCATTCACGCTAATGCCGCCAAGGAAGTCGAGAAGAAAGGGTTCAAGAACCGCGCCAAGGTATGGGCCATCCTCAACGCCATCCGCTCCCACGGCGTTAACCTTGTCATCGATGGAGGCGACGGCCGCACGGATCATGATGTCCCTCGATGGTGACGACGACAACCTGTTTGACGAAATTCCTGAAGGATGATTTTCACGGCATGTAATTGTATTGTAACGAATACATGATTCTTTTCATCCTCCGAACCTCTTTAGGCTCTGTCAAATAGGAAAAAATATTACCTCAGGAGTACTGATGCATCAGTACTCCAATGAGGGGGTGCCACGTAGGCAATGGTCTCACCGTGGTGCCTACGTGGCACCCCTCATTGAAGTACTGATGCATTAGTACTCCTGAGGTAATATTTTTTCGTCAAATAGAGAGAATATTAGGTCAGGGCTCCCAATGAATGCGCCACCTTTAAAGTAGATAAATTACAATATATTGGCACTGATTGGTCTATTTTACACGTGTCACTCCTTTATAGGACTCCGGATGCATGCGGACTCGTCAAAATAAAGGTAGTGGTTGTCAATATTCTTAATATTAGTTAAAATTTTTTTGATGGACAATTCTTTTCTTTTCTAAAAAGAATAAATTTAAAATATTTTAAATTATTTATCCTGGTTAGGAAAATAAAAAAATAAGGAAGTACTAGTAGAAACAATTTTGAAAGATTTACATACATACCACTTAATTCTTGTGCATCTACATATCTAACACATCAACTCCAAGTACGAACAGCTAATATTTTTGTTTTTAGAAAATTTTAAAAAATTAATTTTGTCATATGATGTGGGCTATAAGATTTAGGTGATATAAATTTTAAAATATAAAATTTAGGTCTTAGATATATAAATACATCAGAATTGGTCGGTCTGTAAGTGCCCCTATAATTTTAAACTCAGCTCCATAGAATAGCTATTGATAAAGATTATACATACAACTTGAATCTATTTTTTTAAATATTTTTTGAAATTCACCCCCACAATATAGGGAAAAAATTTGCGTGCGATATTAGGGTTATACCGAGGATACAAGGGGATTACATCCACGGTACAACCCCTTGTAACCTCCCTATAACCTTCTGTAACTTATGTGTAACCTACTAATAAATTATTAATATATGATAACAGAAACGCGAAACTTTTGTAGGGTACAAGTATGTTACAGAAAGTTACAGAAAGTTACAGGAAGGTTACAAGAGTTTATATCACTAATGTAACCCCCTTGTACCATCGGTATAACCCCAATATCGCACGCAGCGTTGCGTACGTCTATCGCATGCAAATTTTTTCCCACAATATAGAGCTAAAAACATTAAAAATGAGCAAAAAAGTAGTAACAACCATAGATCCAATCCTACTAGCCATGCGTTTAGAATAAGCCAGAAACAATTTAAGAGGTCATGAGAGCTTTGTTTTCTTCTTAGAAAGTATTTGCAAATTTAGTTCACTCAACTACATAAATTTATGCTTCAAAAAGAAAAAGAAAAATATAAAAAAAATCGCTTCCCAATCTTTGACACCGCAAGCAACTTCAATTGTAGGAAATTATTTCATAAAAAAGAACAATATGCTTGCTTGATAAACATATTTTTCATAAAATCATGATCATGGAATGATCAAAATTTCTCAAATTATGATGCAAGGAAAAACACTACGGTATAACATTTCTTTCATGCCGTGCCATTAAATGCATTCAACATTTGGTGCAAATGAATGACTATTTTGTAGCAATAAGCATTTACTCGTATGAATCATCAAAAAATCACCAAGATGCACATTCAACAGAACAGTGCCGCACACAAATACTAAAAATCAAGTTTAAGATGCAACAATAGATATTAGTAATAAAGCTTTACGAAATGGTATGCCTGTAAGATATTCGGAATTCAGTATAAATTAAAAAATAATAATGGTTACTTTTTATAGTAAAATGTATTTACTCATAAATTACTGTGTTGTAGCAGAGCAACGCATAATTAAACTATAACCAATTCACACTGTTTCTGCAGCAGAAAAATTTTTTAGCAGATATGAGAGGTCAGGAAGAGCTAAAAAAAGAAAGTTCTGTACTAGCAAATTCCATTTCTAGCCTCTGGAAGATGCCAAATAATTTTTGGAGCATGCATTGATGTCTAGAATCTGAGCAACCAAGCTACAGTTCATTATATGCTAATTGTTCAACAGACAGAAAAACCATCAAAGAAACAACTACAATTGTTTAGCTACAGACGATTAAATAGCATAGACTGCTGTCTCTTGCTTATGCATGAAGGAAATACTCCATCTAAAAAAAATAAAGCCACTGCTTTTTTATATCTGGACCTGGACGGGAGAGAAAAAACACATTTTTAGCCGGTAAGTTTGTCTACATGCTCTACAGTAATAGAAACGAATAAATGCAAATAGAAGCGGAGGCATGTCTCATATTTTAATCAATAATAGAGGCGACTGATTGTTAAAGTTATGATTATCAGCCAAGTATTTATTTAACTTGTTTAAAGAAAATAAGGAACTGGGAGAACAAAGAAGTGCCAACACCAACGTGGTGAGATTTGGCATTATTTCAAGAACCTTGCCCCAGAAATTATGGGACAAACTGCTTGCTTGATTTGGATAAATTCAAAGCAGGCTTGAGCGGCCCAAAATCAAAATAGAATATACTAAACAAAATTTAGGGCTTGTGCAAATACATGCTGGATCATAATGTAAGGTTTTTTCATTCAACAATTTATTACGATATAGACAGATGTACACCTAATTTTTGAAGAAAATATGAATATTTAGTTTCTATTTGTAATTTCAATTTTTAAATGAAGTATAAGTTTCTGTTTTTTACCCTTTTAATAATAATAAAAAAAATCTAATTTTCGTTTAAAAGAACTTTTCTTTAACTCTTATAAATAGGAGGAGAGCAATCATGATTGCTTAATTAGATTGCTTATAGGTTTGCACGCAAATCAAGGCATGCGCTTGGAAATTGAAAAACATGCATGCTAACAACTGATAGTGCTTTTGGCTGTAAGAGCTATTATATATTAAAGAAGAGAGATGAAAACAACAAACAACAACAACAACAAAGCCTTAATCCCACTACGTGGGTCGGCTAAATGAATCCTTTTTCTCTATTGCATCCTATTTAGTGTCGTATTTTCATTTAGTTCCAATAAAATAAGATCAATTTTTATACAATAAGCCTAAGTTTTCCTAAGTCTACCTCTATCTTTCTTAACATAAGTCGAATCTAAAACATCTACTCTCCTAATCGGATCATTAGATGGTCGACGCTTAATGTGATCGAACCATCTAAGACGATTTTCTCTAATTGTCCGTCACAGAAGCTACACTAACCCTATCACGGATATAATCATTTTGCATTTTGTCTGTAAGTGTAAAACCACTCATCCACCTAATCATTCTCATCTAATCATTCTCCTAATCATTCTCATCTCGGAAACACTTAACTTTGCTTTATGATTCTCCTTTAAAGGCCAACATGCAGCGCCATGGAGCATTGCAGTTCTTACCACCGTCTTATAAAATTTTTCTTTCAGTCTAAGCGGTACTTTGCTATCACACAAAATACCCCGAAGCATTCCTCCACTTCAACCAACCAACTTGATTCTACTATTAACATCCCCATCTATATCACCATCTCTTTGAACAACATACCTGAGATATCTAAAACGTTCACACCTTTTAATAATTTGATCACCCAAAGTTACATTTCTGTCACTAGAGCTACTACTACTAAATTACATTCCATGTATTCAGTTTTAGTTCTACTCAAACGAAGACCTTTAGACTCCAATGTAGACCTCCATCATTCAAGTTTTTCCTGGGCTTTTTCTCTCGTCTTATCCACGAGAAGGATATCATCAACAAAAAGCATACACCTAGGTACATCTTCCTGTAATTGTCCATTAAGACCATCCATAACTAAAGCAAAAAGATATGGGCTTAAAGCCGATCGCTGATGTAATCCAACAGAAATAGGCAACAGAAATAGGAAAATTCCTTCAGTTTGAACACAACAGATCTAGTATACATATCTTTAATGACTTGAATATAAGTCATATCAAGACCTTTTCTTCTCAAGAACTCTCCAAAGGATATCTCTTGGAACCTTATCGTAAGCTTTTTCTAAATCAATAAAAATCAATGTAGATTCTCCTTATTATCTCTGAACTTCTCCATCAAACTTTTCAATAAATGTATAGCTTCCATCGTAGGCCTGCTCGGCATGAGGGAAGCCAACAAATCAAAAGCATATTTATTCAAAAAATTTGCAACAATTCCATAGACACGAGGGAAGCCACCCTTTTTATGCACTCTCAAATGGGTGATACTTAATATTAGTTAAAACTTTGTTAATTTTCTTTCTTTGTTAAAATTGAGATTTTTCATGTCTTTTGTGACAAGATTGACTATATTTGGGGTTAAAAAAGTATTATCTACTGGCTCTTTTAATTACACACTTGTGTGGCCTTTTTAAAGTGATTCTAATACTCTCATTGCTCCGTAGGCTTGTTTTGGCATTTGGGACAAACTTTGTAAATCTAGGTGTTTTCTAGCAAGTGCTTTATTTCTTTTATAACTGTTTTCTGTATTCATCATATTTGTTCCTAGTAAATCCTTTAAGATATTTTTTTACAAACACACGATAAAAAGAAAAGATTTTATGCTTCAGTAACGTTTTAAGCACCAAAGGTGAAAAAAAAAAAACAAACCCAAACAAGCCTACATCAATCAAAGATCCTCCCTTCCAAAGGATCTCTTGACAGCCCATAACAAATGCAAAACCAGAAGTCGCAAAAAAAAATCTAAGAAAACAGCCAAATATATAGTAATGTCGATCATTAAAAACCAAGCTGCATATGCCTGAAATACAGATGAATATTAAAGATATATTTATAACAAATAATTGAACTTTCTAAATCAAAGAATTGAAAAAACAACCTCAGTTGCCCCTGGTTTTGAAAAAGATATGGACCAACTATTAAGGAATATGAGAAATGTGGCCTATCTGTAGAAAGAATATTTTCATAATATGCCTTCAGTTAAATATTCAGAACAAACGCATTATAGCCACAAAAAAAAAAAAAAAAGGAGATGCTATAACCGGCTATTTCTATCATGCTTCCCTTGTCCTTACATGTGAACCTCTTAGACATTTATTTTTGGTTTGTTCTACTTCAGTCCCTGCTATTTGCAGCTTGTGCCACTAATGCCACAGCTTGGAACTTGACTGGCAATATTCCTTCCTATGTTATGTACTACCACCTATAGTGATACACTTTTTGCTATTGTTACTGGACTTCAACAAATTTCCTTCCGCTGGAACCGAGCTCACAAAATTAGTTTTACTTGTTTTTATATCTGCAGTATGACCGATGTGCAAATAAGGGACTTAAACATGTAAAAAATTGATCATTTCTCTTTCAAGTAAATCAATTCCTCAATCAAGTGAGAGACTTAAATATCTATAAGAGAAGATAACCGGTTGTTCAAGCATAAGCTTTCTCATAAGTCACTGTTTCTTAATCTTCCATCTTTTCACTCTTCTTCAACGTCTTCTATGAATAAAAATCATTTCAATTCATTAACGATGGGTAGGGCAAATTATTTCAATTAATTAAATTAAAATGAAAGATGTAATTCAAACAAACTCAATTTAATAATGATTATATTATAATGCAAGGAATTATATTCTTAAATTATATATTTCATCGGCAGCATTGACTAACCTTCATTGGCCTTGCTTCTACGCTCAAGATCCATTTAATAAAATAAAATTATACATTAATACAAAATAAATATTAGCAAAAATATATGAATACAAAGTTTTAGATTCATTTAATTCCAATCAAACACAAAAAATGATTTCTTGAATTTATTTTACAAGTAACGAAACAACCCAAGATATTCCCAACACGTTATATATTTACACTACATTTAAAATGCATTCGTAATTTAAGTATTTGCAGCCGAATTGCCCCTTAATCTTTTCATCTTTCCCCTCTTCTTTATTATCTTTTCTGACTTTTTAAAGGTTGTTTTGTATTAAGTTTGGTACCCATGACTAAGGTTGCATAACAATTTCTTCTAGAGCTAGGACATAATATTTTGGTCAATTAACTAAAAAAGAGTGCAACAAAAAATAAATTAAATTAACTATCATCCTATATGATGCCAAAAATGTTATTATAAAGCTATAAATCTTATTCTTACATTTGATGGTATGTATACTTTTGGACAAGTTTTAGATTAGGTGGACAAATTAAACTAATTCTTTAAAGCATACAATATGTATGATTTTTTATTAGTAGCAAAAACAAATTTAACAGGACTTCCACAATGCTTTTATAGCACTTCTGCTTTAAGAAAAAAAAAACCCTCCAATGGTCAATATGAAACATAAACTCGAAATTAATGGCTATAATCAACAGGCTATGGAGACCAGCCAAATGATCAATTTAAGTCTTGTTTGGATTGTTTTGCTTCCATTTGATTATGGTTTTGTTTCTTCATATTTTCTTCTCAATTAATCTTTGTTTTCACTTAAAATATAAATAAATAAATATTTAACAAGCATAAAGTAGTAATTAATCCATGATTATTCTATCTAAAAATTATTAAAACTAATTGAAGTTTGAAGAAAAAAAATTAAGCATGAATAAATCACAATTCACCAAAGACAATAATAGATAAAGCCTTCTCTACATTATTAGAAATTAAGAAATATTACAATCATTTAGTTATGATTACTGCATTTTTAATTAATATTTCTAAGAAAATCATTATCATCTCATACAAAGCTTGTTGAACACACATCAATACAGAATAATGTAAAGCTAGAATTTGCTACTTTTCCAAACAAAAAAAAAAAAAAAACTAAAGTTCATGAATCTTTTTTAAATATGACCGTAGTTAAAAAAGTGTAAGTTGCAATATCTATAAACATTTTTATTAGATCAAAATAGAAATTGAAGTTTACATTACAACATGTTTAGATACGTGAACCAAAAGTCTAGCAGCAATTAAACCGGAATCTGAAATTAAATCTGAGATGATATATAATCCTAAATTTAAAACTGTGAAATTAATAACCTAAGCAATTTAAGATTATTGAATCAAGTAAAAAGTATAATAATGCCTCCAGACGAGTTATCGATGAAATTTATCCCTATGATGAATAAGCAAACTAATATCAATACTATATTCTATTTATATTTTTTGCTTGAAAATTTATCAAAAGAATATTATGGAGAAAGATAAATCATATGGACATACTCAAAATGCTTACTAATGGTAATTGCCTGCTA